GGGCATCTTCTTGATTGTTGAGTGATGTGGGAGGGCCCAGCCCACTGCGGGTGGTGCCACCCCTGGGCAGGTGGGCCTGTGTTGCATAAGAAAGCAGGCTGAGCAGGGGCCAGGGGAGCAAGCCAGTAAGCAGCATTCCTCCATGGCCTGTGCTCCAGCTCCTGCCTCCAGGTTCCTGCCCTAAGTTCATACCTTGGGCTCCCTGAGGAACTGCGACCTGGGAGATGTAAGCTGAATAAACCCTTTCCTCCCCAAGTTGGGATGGGTCAGAGTGTTTTGTCACAGCCATGGAGAACAAACTAGGACAGATCCCTTCACTGATAAGAGAATCAGCCTTTTCCGGCTTCTGAGGTGCACTGAAGACTGGTAGTTCTCCGGAAATTCCCCAGGCCTTCAGTGTTAGCTGGGGACCCAGCCTTTGGGACTGAGCAGCTGGCAGGTGCTTGGCCTCCCCAGTGTGTGACAGCCATTGTTGAAGTACTCTGACTATACCGTGTACGCCAACCTAATAGATCCCTGGTTAATATACATTCATTCTATCAGTCCTGTTCTGGAAAACCCTGACTAATCCGGATTGTGTATCCCCGGCAGAGGGTGACAGCTCCTTTCACTTTGCGTAGTGCCTGGCGCATGGCAGGCTGACAGCAACAGAGCTCTAAGAACACTTGTCCTGCACCAGGGCACACACACTCAGTCCCTAGTGAGTGGCCAAAACCATGCCTTCCACTGCTTGCCCTGACCAGAGCCTCCTATTTATACAAGCCACTTGAACAGAGGGAATTTACTTCCCCAGCCTCTGACATAATGGTTGGCACCCGATGTTCAATGAGCAATTAATTTATTTGAACCAAATTTGTGACCTGGGTCAAATCATTTTATGTTTCTATGCTCACTTCCGTTGGCTTCTCTGCCAAGTTAGAGACTTGTTTTCTCTAAGTTCCTTTCTAGTCTACAGTTCTCTATTTGGAAGGGAATCTCACTGTGGCCTGGGGGAGCTGGCCCTTCACTGTGCTGAGATGGGATGGGGAGATGGCTCAGCGGCTCAGATGCTCTCAACCTCTATAAAGCAGTTTTCTTACAGCTGTTAAGCACCAGCTGCCCTCCCTGCAAAAAAAAACATAGCCAAAGGTTTGGCGGGACATCATCTTGTCCTATGAGGAACCAAAAAGATTTCTATCATTTATTTCACATCCAGGACTAGAGTCATGCTGCTTCACTGATAAGCTCCCAAAGGTCACCTTCAGGTTCAGTAATCTGCTGCAAGAACCCAGAAAAGCTGATATAACTCATAGTCATGGCTGATCACCTAGAAAAACCGGGATTAAAATCTGCAGAGACAACTAGAGCAGTGAGCAGAGTCCAGGGAGCCCAGGTGCACGGCTTCGAGTTCTCCAAGTATCACAGAGACACAGAGGCATCC